ATATATTTGAAATTTTCATAATAAGGATAACTAAAAGCTTTAAAATTAAACTGTTATTTTGATAACAATTGCCTTTATTTTTATTTTACTAAATTTTAAAATTAAATCTACTCATTCATTTATTCAGTTTTGCACACAGTTATTAAGCTTTGCTATGTGATGAACAGTGGGATATGTTCTAGGAATACTAATGTGGTGTTTCCTCTTACCCAAAGCCTGATAGCTGTCTCGCCTTAGAACTATTGATTAATCTCTTTATGCCTCAGTTTTCTCAATATAAAATTGGGATAATAGTACTCCTCTTCAAAAGGTCATAACACTTCCCACTTAGTAAAGAAAATGTATGTAATGTACTAACAATGCCTGGCAAATAATAAACATTGCTCAGCGGTATCTTATTTTTTCTTATCTTCAGCTGCTCACATCTCTGAATCAGAATATAGTGTGAAAGTGCTATAATAATATTAGTTTGTTACAAAAGTATAGAAGTGGGAAAGACTAGCCCCACCTGGAAGGGTTGTGGAAGTCTTCACAAAAAAGGTGAATTTTTTAAAATTTACCTTTGAATGAGTTTCTACTATGTATATTCAATGTGTTAACTCATTTAATGTGGCAACAACCCTGTGAATTGGGTATTAATGTCCCAGTGTGAGGACAAGGACTCAGCAGAGACTAAGAAGATTGCTGGAAGTGTGATCAACCCACAAGGTAGAGGATGCAGATCATGAACCCACAAGGTAGAGGATGCAGATCATGAAAGACCCCATGAATACGTCTGGGAAAGTCCTTAAAGAGTACAGTACTGAGAAGTCTTCCTCAACATCTATGTACATCTTAAAAATTACGTAATTCTGGTCCACAGGGCAGTTTTTTTAATATAATATTATATCAAAAACAAACATATCATCAGACATTTATGAATCCTCTTCAGTGTACCAGTGTTACGGCAGAGATGACCGGGAACAGACCGACATGCACACAGAAATATTGGCAAAAACAGGTTTATACGTCAGCGAGCTCAGAGGGGGATTTTTCCTTCCCAAATTCTGAGGACCAGACAAAGAGCATTGCAGTCTTTTATACATACACTCTGCTTAAGGGGGAGGGGCACAGGTACAACAGGGTTAACTTTAGTGAGGCAGAGTCCTAAGCTACTTTACAGCCTGGTATGCTAATTGCTATAGGTGATTTATGAGGGGAAAGGTCGCAGAAAGGAGGGGGCCCAAGTAAGGATTGCAAGGGAGAAAGCCCAGTAGTGGAATTTTCCACTTTAGTGGAATTTTCCAATTTTCCACTTCACCAGGGACTGCACTGGTTCTTAGTGATACACAGAAGCAGAATGATTTGGTCCATTCCCTCTACCTAGTAAAAGAAACAAACATATAACAGCTGCTCATTATTGGGTATTTACCGTATGCCAGGCACTGTGCTGACCTCTCTGGATACACCAATTCATTGACTCCTCATAGTGACTCCCTGGAGTAGGAGTTATTATCCTCATTTTACAGATAAGATTATGTAGCCTTAGAGAGATTTGTAATTTGTTCAGTCATACAATTAGTGCTGGACTTGAGCCCACATCGGTGTGACTCCAAAGCCTGTATATTGTTTTAACACTGACTGATACTGTCACCACACATTTTAGTAGAATATAATATAGCCTATAATAGAAATATAAGTGAAGTACTAAGATCACCAAAAAGGAAAAGAGTAAGAGATCAGTTGTCAGACAAATGGCATTTGTCTTGATGGATAACTAAATGTCTATTAGCTACCACAAGCACTGAGGGGTGCTCCAGGCAGGGAAAGAGCACATTACAGATTGAATGGTTTAAAAGAATGTGGTGTCTTAAAAGGACACAGGCAAGTTGTTTGTTTCAAATAGCTAATGCTGGATTTTTCTAACATGTCTTCCTCAGCAACTATAAAACCAATTAATAAGAAATATTATTTGAAAAATTTTAAAGACTATTTTATCACCCTCTTAAATTGTTTGTTAGTTCTTTAACATTTTCACAATGTAGCCATGACAAGCAGCTTATAATAATTTGTAGCAT